CTGATGGACTCTGCCATTTTCTCTTCTTTCCACTACCACCCTAAAATTTTCAAATTAAGTAATGATGGTCCACCAGAAAGGAGTGGAAAATCGCTAACCCTCCGCCAGTAGTAACATATTATTACCATATACTCAAAACAATATTTTACACATCAATACGTATATAGAGGGATATTTCCTATAAATGAGTTTAACAAATTTTAGCTATTTAAAAGAATGTTTCGTTGCTAAATTAACCGCGTGGAAGCCTAGCTTGGTTTTGCAAACAATAATCAATTAAGAAATATATTTAGTTGACCATAATATGACCAGAAAAAAGTACACAAAGTTTAGACTCAAATAAAGCAGTAGATGGAGAAAATCATTCAGAAAATATTTTAAGTTCAAGATTCTTATAGATTTTATAACATAAAATTCAATATATGGCAATATAATTAACAAAGTGATAGAATATATTTTCAACTAGACTTCATTATACAATTGTATGTTTTCATCTTTCAAATTTTTGTAAAATGTTGATATATAAATGATATTAATCGTATTAAACAGTTTTCTGTTTAGAAACAACTATATATTGCTTTTAAAATGACAACTTTAAAAAATACCCGTGTTTTTTATGTATTTAGTGCGACGTTAAACATCTTCTTCTGGTATCTTCTTCTTTCTGAAATAATGTTCAATTTGGGATCTTCTGACAATTTAGGAAAATAAATAAATAAACTACCGTTTATATAAATGCTCAAAAGTAAATTTTAGGTTTGAAAATTGAGTTGTTTTTTTTTTTCCTAACTGTTTACGTTGATGTTGATGAGCTAATAAAATGAGTTAAACGGAATTGACATAACATGGAATTTGGAGCCATTTCGTACATCACGAGAGGGCGTAACATCAAGTGTGGTGCATTACGGCAATTTCAAAGTTAGACCGAAAATGTGTCATTTAACGATATTTTGTAGACGTTTTCGTAAAAATTTGGGGAATCTTGTTTCGATTTCTTAAAAATCCTGTCACACTGGTGATTTTGTATATATTAATTTTTCACTAATAAATAAAGATAAAGTCAGAATGCATTTTTAATGTTAACTCTGGAACTACCAACTGGAACAAATAGATCCTGTCTAAACAATAAACATGAATGGCGAGTAAATATAGTTATAAATACAATGATGCATTTATTTTTGATTGAGTTTATGGTTATTTTACTTTTTCTTCTTTTTTTGCATTGTTATACTGTGTTAATTAAGTACTGGGTCTATTGAGCCCAGATGGTAAGAGGAGTTACAAAATCTGCCTGGTAGTTTGAGGGTTAAGTTTAACATCAAGATACGAGCTAACAATGCGGATCAAGAGATAAACCTTCATTGTAATTAAATCAAAAAGTGAACCTTCCATTAAGAACTTGATCAGTTAAATAACAAATAGACACAAATTCATGTTCAATTTTGAGTAGTTGAACGATATATAACGTTGAAATATGTGAATAAGGCGAAACTGTTTACCTTTAAAAATAGGAAATTCATATATGTGTATATACATATATAAGGTTAAAAACAAATTGATTTTTCAGCATGTCATACCTGACCAACATAAACGACAGTGGTTCCATTTTAAAATTGCTTCGAATATATCTTGGCTTTTCACATGACACGAAACCTGAGCTGGGGACTAGAAATGCTTGTATAAATGCTAACATCTGGCCATTCAAAAAAAGTAAGGAGATAGGCGACGATAAGATTTTTTTAATATAAGTGAAAGAAAACTAGAACAATTTTGATTCAATCAATTCTTGACGTCGCCCGACAAGTTTCTCATTATAACCAAATCATGTCAAATGGAAATTCATCAGTGGGTTATTTCCGGCGAAGAATTTTGTCGCTCTCCTTCTTTTATATAACCATCACACACACACTAAAAATTATTGTTCTGCTAAGTGGGTTCTTTTATATGGAAACCCATTTTTTTCTTTTTAGTCGTTTTACCGTTAGCTACTGTACAATGTGTAGGTAGAAGGAGGTACCAAAACACATATACTCCAAAAAGCACTAGAGCTGAAACAATATAGAGCTTGGCGCCACTTCGTATACCACAAGAGGACATAACCTGTGCTTCCAGGGAGGAGTTCAGAGTGGGCACAGAATGATTTGCTTTCAGAGACTCGAACAGGTCAGATACTTTACACGATGAATGACCTGTGTCCAGAGATACGTGACAAGGCTCGTAACAACTTCCAGGTTGGCCATAAGGTGAGTCAGGAGTTATGGCAGGAATGTCTGGGACATTTGGATCTAAAACAGGCAAATTGAAAGTAATTAAAAAAAAGTAAATATAATACAGTCTAATTCTTTATAAAAATCTGACAAAGCAGCGTCAAATATACGTTGTCCTTAAACTACAATGACATAATAACAATAATGCTACACATAACTACTAATCTAAATTAAGAAAATGAAGAAGTTCATAATCAATTATTGATACATCAAGCTTCAAATCCTTTGAAACAAGTGCACGCAGAACTCAGTTATCGTAAACCAGAAAAAATAGTGATAAAATATATTAAATACGCGATTGTTGTGCATTGTCTACACTTTACAGTATTACAGTAGCGTAAAAGAGATGTATTTAGTATGTATGGAAAAACTACTAAGGATATCTGCCGCCGTCCGTAACTATTGATCAGAGAGAAGGCAGTCAGTCAGCAGCACCCTCCCACACCCCCTTTACGCTACGGGATTCATTGTCACTCTTATAACGCCTTTACAGCTTAAAGTGCGGGAAACATTTTGTGATATCGCACAGATTCGAACCCGGCTCGCCTGAAATCAAGAGCTCTATCACAGGGCCAACTCGCGCCGCACTGTTCTTTACCGTCAGATAGTTTCATTGGAATAACTTACAACTGTAGGTTGCCAGACAGTAACATTAAAATTTACAACAACTGCGTTCTTTTAAAACCTACATCATTCGGTGACGCAGCGCTAAGTTTATTGCCTTATAACGCAGTAAAGTTCGGGGCTCAGTCCCTGTGAAAGACACAGAGAAAAAAAAACCCATCGAGTAGCTTTGCATTAGAACAAAGAGTAAATTATAGATTATATAAAAGTATACCACTATTACGCACCAAGTGATATATCTGACCCCAACATATTACAGGTGCGTGAAGCCAAAGACTTTATATTCAAACACACCAGTTTTTCATTTACAATATTGAATCCATTTATACCACCACTGTGTCTCATCTCCTGTGCCAAATTCAAATATATAAAATCTGTGTCTCACTTCCTGTATCAGAATCAAATATACCACCGCTGTGTCTCATATCCTGTATCAGATTCAAATAAACCACCACTGTGTCTCATATCCTGTATCAGATTCAAATAAACCACCACTGTGTCTCATATCCTGTATCAGATTCAAATAAACCACCACTGTGTCTCATATCCTGTATCAGATTCAAATAAACCACCACTGTGTCTCATCTCCTGTGCCAAATTCAAATATATAAAATCTGTGTCTCACTTCCTGTATCAGATTCAAATAAACCACCACTGTGTCTCATATCCTGTATCAGATTCAAATAAACCACTGCATATATATACCCTTTCAATATACATATGTTCAGCGATCTTCTTTATTTTTAATTTAGTTCAAATAACATTTCTTAAAATATTGTTCTTTCACGTGCCTTTCGTGTAACATTTTCATATTATGAGTACGAATAGCCATCTCTGTTTACTCAAATTCCTTACATATACAATGGTACTATATCAAAGATCACAACTTTTGGGTGTGATCAATTTGATTTGTTATTTTGGGAAAATGCTTACCGTAAATCACCAATCGTATATTTTATCTTGAGGATAATGTAAATTCTCTTGATGTATCACCAATGGAGATTGCTGTATACAATCTGTGTATGAAACTTTGGTTATCGCAAAGTTAGTTTGTGTAAACCCTGAGCATGATCGTTGGTCTCAGTTATTTCAAAAAACTCGTTTGATTGCTTCTAATTTTCGCGCAAAGCTATCTGCGCACAACCGTCCCTAATTTTGAACTGCTAGACTAGAGGAAAGGGCAGTTAGTCAATAGTACCCACCGCGAACTCTTCGTCTACTCTAGTCTGACCGATTAGTGAGATTTGACTGTCACTATTATAGTGCATCCACGACCCCAAAGTGTAACAATCGCATTTTTGCGTTAATGGAATGCGAACCTTAAACCCTCGATTTCACAATCCAGGCACGCTAGCTCCTACTTTGGCCACGCCCAGTCTCTTCTGAGTAAGACAAACGAGAACAAGTATGTATTTAGAACCTCGATAATTTAACATCCGAGTTTGATCAGCAATCTGATACCTCGAAAACTCTTTGTCTTCCCTCTGATTATGATCAGTAATAGGTTGTTTTTTATTTGAGCTGTGTAACACATCTTCTCAGTATAAAAGTTAAAGCACCTTGAAATTGAGTTACTAAATTAGTGAAACGTATTCTTCGTGAAAATGTATACACAAGGTAAAACAGAATAAGATAAATAAAGTCGTGCCAAATTTCACGAGCTTCGGTATCCGCACGTGGCAGGTATAGAAGCAGAAGGAAAGTAACTTTGTCTTATTTCAAAGTGCCCTGAAGAAGATACAGATTTAATCGTGTTAAACGCTAAGCCATGTATCAAAATGCTACAGACTAGTCCCCTGCGGATTTACAATGCTAAAATCAGGGGTTCGATTCCCCTCGGTGGACACAGCAGATAGCCCGATGTGGCTTTGCTATAAGAAAAATACACAAATACACGCTACAGACTAAAATATGATTACACCAGTTTCAAGAGTTGTATTTGGAAACTCTTAGTTTTGTTTAACATTTACCATTCACATCATGAAAACGGTCGTATTTCTCAACTGTCCGCCAAAATAAAGCAAAGCATTTTTTACATGCGTATTTCTGTGTACATTCTTTTTTTTTTTCAATCAACTTGCACAGTGTTACAGCTGTAAAAGAACGTCTGTTTCAAAACTAACGTTACAGTGGAGAGAGTAAATGTTAACGAGTTAAATATAATTCAAATTATTAGATTAGTGACTCAAACATTAATTATAAATACAAATATTGAAGATAATATAATTCTGGTAAATAGTACACTTTATAATGTTTTATCCTTTGATCACATTTCAAAAATAGTTATCTGATCATGCGTGTTTCAAGGTAAACCCTAACATCGTGCTACTAGTAAAAATTTAAAACGTTCTGTTTTTCTTGCTTCAGTGTTAAATGTCAATAAACAAAACGAAAGCTGTTTAGTGTTTCCTGATAAAATGTAAACAACGTAGTGGTATTGTGTAAAGTCTAAACAATGCTAAACGTATTCACTCAAAAGATTAATGTTCTAACTAAAAATGTGAATTATGTTCACTTATCTAAACAAAACTCAACATGTTTCCGCATACATTATTTCAAGATAAATTTTCATCAATATATAGATATTTAAACATAACTAAACCTGCTCGCAGGTATTATTTCTCAAGATAAAATGTCAACAACATACAGATATCTGCTAAGAAGACTTAATTAAAGATGTCTGTATAATGAGCAGCATCTAGCATCTTATTCATTCAGAAACATGAAAATGTCAACAACATACAGGTATCTATTGAGACAACTTCAATAGTTCTCTATAGTAATCAGCATCCAGCAACTTGTTCATTCAGAAACATGAAAAGGTCAACAACATACAGGTATCTATTGAGACAACTTCAATAGTTCTCTATAGTAATCAGCATCCAGCAACTTGTTATTCAGAAACATGAAAAGGTCAACAACATACAGGTATCTACTGAGACAACTTAAAGATGTCTCTATAGTAATCAGCATCCAGCAACTTGTTCATTCAGAAACATGAAAACGTCAACAACATACAAGTATCTATTGAGACAACTTAAAGATGTCTCTATAGTAATCAGCATCCAGCAACTTGTTCATTCAGAAACATGAAAACGTCAACAACATACAGGTATCTATTGAGACAACTTAAAGATGTCTATATAGTAATCACCATCCAATGACTTGTTCATTCTTAAACATGAAAACGCCAACAACATAGAATGAACTAAAGAAAATTAAACCTGTGTTGTATCTAGATACCTTATATTTAATTGTTATAGTGTATATTATTATAGTAGTAACATAATATTTACATATCTGTGGGAGCTGTTGTTCAGAAACAGGTCTAAGTTCTGTGCTTCTTAATTCACAGATGTTAATCTCTATCTCATTAATTGACCAAGAACTTTATGTGCTGTTTCATGGAATATTTGTATTATATTCAACATCACACCAAGTGTGGGGGTATTTTATTGAACATTAATTTTTTGTCACTGATAGTGTCAGCTTATTTAATATAAAACCAGTTGAAAGTTACCATGGAGGCTGCCAAATGCATACATGTTGAAATAATTTAAGAAGGTCTGTACAGTAAGCTATGTCGATCACTATCCAGCACTCCTAAAGCCCCATATTAGGTAGATGTTCCAACAGCATCAATAAACAACTTGTGGTGAGTGGATGATTTTTGCCAACGTGACTCTCTCATGCACTTAGCATTTCCTGGACCACCCAGGCCTTCCTTTCTTCGATGAAGGGGGAATTGTTGATGTCATACATGAACAAGGGCCTCGTGCTCTAACAACTCCAGATGGGGATGTTATTGCCATTATAACACATCATTAAAGTGCACATGAGAGATATCCTAATGCTCAGCAGAACGTTAGGGTGATAGAAATGTGGAATCAGTACCTTTGTTGATATTAGCTTTACAACATGAATAAAGTTAACAATGGACATTTTCTGAATTTAAAGTTATGTCAAGTGACATTTTCTGAATTTAAAGTTATGTCAAGTGACATTAGAATTCCTATTCAAGTATAAGGTCCAGTACTTGATGCCATTGAATATTCGAAGACTGACTAAATCTGAAACTGGAAAGCTATAATTGCATCATTACGTGGAACTAATCTACCAGACAGAATTCAAGGCGTGCACCAACAAAGCTTAGTCTTGTATGCTAAAGTGATGCAACATTTACATGGAAAACATGGCAACAATCCATAGAAAAGTTATCCTTTTTGATAAGTTTGTGAATGGACTTCCTAACGAGTCAATGTGGCACCACTAGTATGCTGAAGATGTTTTATCTGTAAACGAGTCTGTGTCTGTAGTAACAGAGATGATGTAGTTATTCCAGCCAAGCTATCAAAATAGAGCAAGCCTTTAATGGTCTCTGGTGCAGTTCCGCCAAAGGTGCCAGCACCACTTTACATGAAACATCATCAGATGGCACTACATTTGCAAACATTATATGGTGACTCAGTGCAGCCTGAAAAGGTACTCTGAATCTGCTATTTCATCTATGCTGATGACGGAGATGAGAAACATCCAGGTTTTTAGAGATATTAAGAAATAAGAGATGTGAGATACAACTTGGTTTTCACTGATGTAGGTGTCATCTCCTTGTAAGTAACTACACATGACCCCATGAATCAACCATATTAATTGAATGGCAAAGAACATTTTAATGCAAGACTAGAGGCTGTAACACTATTAGATATTCTAGTTTACAAGTCCCAGATCAAATATAGTCTTTGTACAAATCGTTGCTTGAGTATTACCTTTGTAGGTTTAGATGTCCCGCAGACATTATCTACTATTATAGCCTGTTTACAAGGTGAATTGTAATACTGTTGTGAAACTTAAATGCTGACTAAAAATACAAGAAAGATGAACTGCATTAATGTATATAGATGATAACAGTACAATTCTGTCTAATACACAAATTGTGTTTCACGGTAATAAACTTTATAAGGATTCAAGTAAAAGCACCATTAAAAGTTATCTAAGCATATCTAAACCTTTACAGATATAGTTTTTAACGTAAAAATGCTGTTAAAATGGATTTATTTAAACAAATGTACATAGTAAATAGTTTTAGAAATATAAAATTATCTAAACAGAAATATACACGTTCACAGTTATATATTCCAAGACAAAATGATGAAAACAGGGTAGTACAAAAATTAGTTGCTCCAGTGCAGCGTCTTAATTTTCACGTATTTCACATAAATATACGAGTATACGTGAAACGTGCACACAACGCACGGATTAACGTTGTACCAATGAGTTTTAGTTTTATTATCGACAGTAGTCCATGTACATCACATTTAAATGTGGAGCAACAAGTTTTTGGAACACCCTATATTGCAGTTTTCATTTTAAAAAAACTAAAACTGATTCTTTATATTCATGATGTGAATTTAATTTCGGACAATATGCTGTTATTTAAAAATGTCCTTATATGTGAAGACAAACTGTAGACGTACCTATACAAAAGAACACTGGTTCTCCAGCGTACTGTTCGAACACAAAAGGATGGAAGTACGGACACTGCCGCTCGACTTGGTGACAGAAGCTCCGGCAGGGCCTCACAAACTGGTCTTCAACATGGAAAGGAACCATCATAGCACATATCCATTCTCGATACGCTTTCTGAAGAGGAAACACTAAAATTGAAATCTTACTTTCCAACTGAAATTATTCCTTTTTTTCTTATCTTAAAACACAGAAATTAAATCACATTAATCATTGATGGATACTGACCAATATCGTTGCCGACTCTTTAACAGCTAAAAAAAAAATGATGTGACCACTTCAATAGGGATTATGTGTTTATTTTCTGATATTCGCTCAAAGCTGTTCAAAATTTATCCGCGTTAGCTGTCCCTAATTTTTAGTTGATAGAGTAGAGGATGAGCAGCTAGTCAATAACACCCACCACCAACTTTTGAGCTACTCTTGTCTGACTAGATAATGGGGTTTGACCACCGCTTTTATGATGCACTCACGACCCCAAAGTGCGAATAGCGAGTTTTTTGCGGTGACACTGGACCGATAGATCAATAGTCCACCACACTAACCACTCGGACACGCTCGGATTGTTCAACGATTTTCATCTTCTTGTGGCCCGGCATGGCCAGGTGGATTAGGCGATCGACTCGCAAGTTGCGGGTCGCGGGTTCAAATCCCCCGTCACACCAAACATGTTCGCCCTTTCAGTCGTGGGGACGTTATAAGTTTCGGTCAATCCCATTATTCTTTGGTAAAAGAGTAGTAGCCCAAGAGTTGGCGGTGGGTGGTGATGACTAGCTGCCTTCCCTCTAGTCTTACACTGCTAAATTAGGGACGGCTAGCGCAGATAGCCCTCTTGTAGTTTTGCGCGAAACTAATAACAAATCATCTTCTTGGATGAATTTTTCAACTTCAGTTTAAAAAGGAAGTTTCCAACTTCTTGAGCAACTCTTCATCAGAACCAACTGAAAAGTTTGCATTAGCAGTTCAATCAGAGTCTCCGAATAACACACAAAAAAAAATGAGAATAGTTACACTGACGTAAATATATCATTATCTTCCACGTGTAATGACCTTTATATAAACTACAGGGGGAAGAACATCTCCCATATTACAGCTCAGTAAAGATGTGAACTGAAAATACCTTTGCTTCTAAAGTGGTTCAAGGAAAAAATATCAGCAGATTTTATTTACACTTTAACTTGTTATTTTCAACGACAGACAACAATATCTATTTTAATTGGCAATTATACCTTCCTTAGTTTGTTTAATCTTTTTTTTCTTTTTTTTCTGAAAATTAATTTAGGAATTTTATTGTCATCCACAACTTTGGTCATCTATAACAGTGAATATTTTGTTTAATCAATGTGAGTTATTCAAGCCACCATAAAAATGTGTAACTACAAGCAAAATACATTAGGTTAAATAAATAAAAAGAAATGTAAAATATATTTCCAAAATGATAATTAGTAAACAAGATAAGCTGAAAAAAAAAAACGGAAAAGAGTTAATAAAACTTAGAATTGCTACACCTCAGGAAACAAGATGGAATCCTCAATAGCTGCGGCACTTGAAATTCTTTTAGGCAGGATTAGAGTAAATTAATCTCTGATACCATTTTTTCCTTTTGATTAGCTATATTTTTGTGCGCCGGCAATACCAAGCTTGGGGCGCGTGTATACCCGATTCGGTTTTATTACTCATCAGGATCTCTACCAGCTTACCTTCAAATTGAAATTATTTTAGGCAGGATTAGAGTAAATTAATCAATGGGACCTTGGGCGAAAATTGTAATTAGATCTCGAATCGGTCAAAATATGACGGAGGTATGAGCTAAAAGTTTGTACTTGAGAAAGAAAAAAACTCAAGAGCTATTCTATGAGCTGCAGTACCGCGGCATATAAAAATCTTAAGCATGAAAACAAAACAGCACGCATTTCGTATTGAATCTTCATAACACCTCTTCATAGAAAAGTCGTTACGTATCAGTATAATTATTTAATTCTGTATGATAAAAGCAAAGAATATTAAGCAAAAAAAATCTTAAGTATTATGATTTATATGGGTTTGTTCTTTTTCTTCTTTCAAATTATTATATTGCATTAAGTTTTCAAATACTTGTAAACCCCCCCTTGTTTTAAAATTTTCATCGCCATACACGTTAAATTTTGCGTTTTTTGTCTATTTTGTATCAAGTTCTGAAATAATTATGAAATAAGGGTGATCTACGTTTTATAAGTTTGACTCGTCGACTGCAGACAAGTTTCGTGTGCGCCTTTTTTTTTTCATCAAGTTATGAAATACTTATGAAATTAGGGTGATCTACATATATCCTCTTGTTTAATAAGTTAAGTTTCGTGTTAGTGTTTTTGCATCAACTTTTGAAATGGTGGAAGTTTAATATCTTATCAGACGCAATTAACTTTCGTGCTCGTTCGTTGCATCTCCTTCTGAAACTTATGGTCAAATCCCTTGTTTTGTAAGTTTCATATTAAGCTATGAAACGAACTCTCTGAATTTTTTAAACCAGCTTATTTATACCTATAAGCTTTTAATCTTAATAAGCAAAATAAGTCTTAGATGGCCAGATAGTTAAGTGTTCCTGTTCAAAGTAATCCATGAACCTGTTTTGACTGTTCAAGTCAAGATTACGGTGTATTTAATCAGGAGTATGTTTGTTTTAGAGCAAAGCACATTAGCTATCTGCTGTGTCCACCGCGGGGAATCGAACCCCAAATTTAGCATCTTAAGTCCGGAGACTCACCGCTGTCACTTACTCTGCTGAAGCTAATTAAGGGAAACCACTGAAGAGGGCATTTTCTGTCAATAGTTAACAAAATTAGCAAAAATTGTAACACGTGTCTAAAATGAAAAATTCGTAGTAGTGACATAATGAAACTACTTGATTTGATTTCAGTTGCAACAATAGTAACATTTCCAGTGTCGGAATTGGTTAGTAAGGGTGCAAAGATGGCGAGTACTTTATGTGACGACTTTCATAGAAAAAGTACAAAAATATATCATTATAAGCGTTAAACAGTTAATCAGAGCTATAATAAACAGTCCTTGCTATTTATATATATATATGTATGTGTGTGTGTGTGTGTATGTTCATGCGTATCCATAGTTAGCTACTAAAATTGCTTACAGTATAAGTAGCTACTAACATATTTTATAGTGTATATCTGTAGGTAGCTACTATTATTTTCTTCAGTGTATGCTTCTAGATATACATAAAGATGATCTTACCTTAGAACAGATAAGAAATTTTACTTTTGACTCTAAGATTGTAATCTCTCCATTTCATCAACTCCCTACCATCCACGCTTAGATTTGGCAACAAAACTGCTTATTTTCTCCAATATAAACAAGCTAAGTAATGTAGTAATACAAAATAAATGTCTTTTACTTAGCAAACGTTAAAATAAATGAAAAACGAAGGACGACACTTACTGATCTTTACAAGAAAAGTTATGCTTAACACTAGATTTGAACACTTCACAGAAAACTTGTAAAAAATAACGTTTATCATCAGATCTTAACATAAGCATACATTACTTGCGCACACAATAGAAGTAGCGTCCAACACCAGATCTCAACATCCTCTTAAAGTGCTTACACACATTAAAAAGTGGTGCTCAATAGCAGATCTTAACACTTTTGTGCAGTGTTTATATACAAGTGTAAAGCGGCGTCTAACACAAGATATTACCATCCTCACACAGTTGTTATAGAACACACACACGGTCATACAAATCATGCATAGAGAAGAAACGTGACGTCTAGCATCAAATCTTAGCAATATTCATACGATACGTACGTGTAAGATCAGATTCTAACATCTTCATGTGACACAAACAGAAGGGAAGTAGATTTAAACATCAGATATTAATATCTGTGCACCGTTTTAAATAGATAGACAGGTGCAGTAAATTCCAGATTTTCCATTGTCACACAATACATATTGGTAAAAAAAGAATACTCTCTCTCATCAGAAATGGAACCTTCATATAGTCGTAATAGTAATACACTTTATTATAAGTTCTTAATATTATAATTATTTGGTGCTACCCCTCTCGTAGTTTGAGGCCCATGGTTTATGTTCTGTTAGACTTTCCTGATATACAAACCAAATTCGATCTTTGGTTTCGAAGTTTTCCAAATACTAATTAGGAGATAATTGCACTTTTAACTAAGTTAAACATGATAAGGACTTTTTGGCAAAGTCGAAAATCTTTTTTATAAGCTAACGACACAGAAGTAATTTTCTCACTTGATTAATTAGAGTGATCATTTCAAAACGAAATATTACATAATAAATAGATTCAAAGTCAATTTGTATATCGAGATATATATTTGTGATCTGGTGTATTTCTTCTGTCAAAACATCCAAAACATCTCGTTAATTTGATCAGTATATAATTTTTTTAAATATTACTAGTTATGAATTTGGGGTATTAAGTTACTGCGAATGTTTCGCATCAACAGTATTGAAACAGGTAACTGGTCCCCTCTTTATTCTTCGCTTGTTTGTTTCAGAATTGTCGTTTTTTAATGTTAAGCTGGTGGACGAGAGAGGGGGCAGCTGTCAACAACACTCATCGCTAATTCTTTGACTACTCTTGTCGGATAGAACAATGGGATTTTACTGCCACTATTATAACGTATCCATGGCCATAAAGTGCAGAGTACGTTTTTGCGTCAACCGGTCACGAGTCACGAATCTTCGGATTCAAAGTCCGGGCACATTAATCACTAGGCCATATCCGGTCCTAATCCTTCTCTTTTTTTTTCATCTTAATGTAAGATGAAAGAATTGATAAATGTCAAAACCTCTGTCTTTATTATAGTCACCCCAATTGTCTTCATGTATAATGAATAGTTAATATAAATTCAGTTTATACCAATGAGATGAGAGCAGTAATCTAAATTGTCATATATTTGATCACATCCAACATTAAATCAAAGGCTATCGTCGCTTCCAAGGAATTGAGCGATTAGAGCGCCATCTGTAACTTGACATGCTAAGATATGTATTCAACCTTCGAACAAGAAACAAGCATATAATTATATTTCGAATACATTCTAAAGATAATAACGTATATTATACCTACATTTAAACATAAAATATTAGCACCAGA